AACTAATAATTGTGAAATATGCGACGACGAAGAGGTCTGAATGAATTTATTTGTCAATTCTGAACTTGAGTGAAACTTTTACTTTATCTTAGCCATTTGCCACTCTTATTTATTCAATGATACACAGGAGGAACTCGATTCACCCAAAAGAACGTATACAAATATATATACACGACAATTGACGCAACAAAATTTAAGCTTTGATGATGCGGCGAATCCACCTCTTGTTATAGATGATGATTTATTTTACGATTCAAATGAATTCTTAAACTTAGCCAACCTTTAAAAACAAATCATAAATAATTGCGCAAGGCATTGTTCTCATTTAGTATTATTCGATTTAATATATTCATGGAGTAATGTGAAATTATAACTACATACATGGTAATCGATATTTAATGATCTGTAATTTCATGTGATATTGATTGGTTTTAAGTAATGACATTTAAAAAACATGCTTCAACTAGTGTTAATTTTTCAGTTAAAATTTACTGCGTGGATGCCGCACAATTTTTGTGTGGCAAATAAAGAAAAATTACAGGCAACTGTGCGCACTATTTACTAAATGTTAATTTTTTCTGTTTGTTGAGGATTTATAATTTGTAGTAATCTAAATTCATGAATTACATATTAGAACATTAGTTTAGTTGCGTAGTAACATAGTGATACAGTAATTACTAATAAATAATATTATATTAGAGATTATAAAAGTAAAAACATCTAAATTTAAATTGTAGTATTTACTGAACTACTAAATTTGCACAAAATTATTTTAATTTTTGTTAGTTTTTAACAATGTTTGCATTGCATAGAAGAGTTAATAGTCATGTGCGTAGGAAAGATTTAAAGTGTAATAATATAGATTGTAGTATTAGGTTAATAGATAAAAAAAGTAGGTAATGAAGAGATGTTGTAAAAGGGTTTAAAAATATAAATAGAAATATTTGATTTTTAGTACTACAATCAGACAACTTTATATTTACATCTTTAGAATACAAAAAATAGTAATTATAAAGGTGTAACTTATATAGTGCATTTTATATAATTATATTATATTAAAAATAAAAACTTGTAATTAGGATGTAATGATTTTTAGTACTACAATCAGACAACTTTATATTTACATCTTTAGAATACAAAAAATAGTAATTATAAAGGTGTAA